GGCGACGTACCCAACACCTGCGCAAACGCGGGGCGCAAATAGTTTAGGACACTTTATAAGGTGGGCGATGACGGAGCGAGGGTTACATATGTCTGCAGACGGAATTCGGGAGATTCGCAGGACACTGGCTACAGGACAAGGACTAGATAAAGCTGATTAGTTCCAATCCCTGAGCAACCCTAGCCACTTCGAAAGCGGGGATCTCAGATCGCAGCCCCCCAGGGATGGCGAGGTCTAATTTGGGTCCGCGCGTGGCGTCACTGTGCTGGGCCCCCCAGCAGGCTTCGAAAGTGGCGACAGTTTCACAGATCGCAGCCCCCCAGGGATGGCGAGGTCTAATTTGGGTCCGCGCGTGGCGTCACTGTGCTGGGCCCCCCAGCAGGCCTCGAAAGTTGCGACAGTTTCACAGATCGCAGCCCCCCAGGTATGGCGAGGTCAAATTTGGGTCCGCCCGTGGCGTCACTGTGCTGGGCCCCCCAGCAGGCCTCGAAAGTGGCGACAGTTTCACAGATCGCAGCCCCCCAGGGAGGGCGAGGTCTAATTTGGATCTGCCGCGATTACCCTCTATGCTGGACCCCCCAGCAGGCCTCGAAACTGGCGACAGTTTCACAGATCGCAGCCCCCAGGGATGGCGAGGTCTAATTCGAATCTGCCGCGATTACCCTCTATGCAGGACCCCCCAGCAGGCCTCGAAAGTGGCGACAGTTTCACAGATCGCAGCCCCCCAGGGGTGGCGAGGTCTAATCTGAATCCCCGTAGGGCGTCACTCCGCTGGGCCCCCCAGCAGGCCTCGAAAGTGGCGACAGTTTCACAGATCGCAGCCCCCCAGGGATGGCGAGGTCTAATTGGAGTCCGCGGTGTGTACCCACTGTGCTGGGCCCCCCAGCAGGCCTCGAAAGTGGCGACAGTTTCACAGATCGCAGCCCCCCAGGGATGGCGAGGTCTAATTTGGGTCCGCGCGTGGCGTCACTGTGCTGGGCCCCCCGGCAGGCCTCGAAAGTGGCGACGGTTTCACAGATCGCAGCCACCCAGGGATGGCGAGGTCTAATTTGTGTCCGCGCGTAGCGTCACTGTGCTGGGCCCCCCAGCAGGCCTCGAAAGTGGCGACAGTTTCACAGATCGCAGCCCCCCGCAGGCAAGACAGGAGGAGGCAAGAGGGAGGCGGGACGGGAAGGAGTGGAGACCACACTGCCCTATTCAAAACGAATACCCAACCAAGGAGGGTTGGGAACAATGCAAGAGTTTCACGGATTGAGGGTGGGCGATGCTCAACATGTTGCTCTCGCCTTAGCGCCTGGCACATTCGTTCTAAAACAATGCAGGAGTTTCACGGATTGAGGGCGGAGGGTTTTCAACATGTGGCTCTCGCCTTAGCGCAGCGCACATTCGTCTCAAAATGTACAACAGGAGTTTCACGGATTCCCATGGTCAGCGTACCAGAAATGATGCTTCGGTGCGAATCAGGACAGTCGGGCCGCAACAGGTACGTTGACTCGCGGAGTTGAAGTCCCAGGAATGGTGTTCTGGCACGGTTCAAGATCGTCAAGACGTAGCAATGGCGCTGGGGTCCCGAGAATGGTGGCTTGGCACGCTTCATGATCTTCAAACGGTAGTCTTGGGGCACTTTCCTCAGTGGAAATGAATCGCTTCAGGGGCCTATGACGCCTGAAGGGAGGACGTATTCAAACATCGTTGGTGAGTCTTGGGTTCACACTGGTCCTCCTCCTCCTCCTCCTCCTCCTCCTGCTCCTCCTCCTCCTCCTCATGCTCCTCCTCCTGCACCTCCTCCTCATCCTCCTCATTCCTCTCCTCCCTCCGTCTCTCCTCCTCCTCCTACTCCTCCTCCTCCTCGTCCTCCTCCTCCTGTCCCTCCTCCTCCTCCTCTTCCTCCCTTTATCCTCCTCCCTCCTCCGCCTCTTCTTCCTCATCCTCATTCCTCCTCCTCCTCCCTTTCTCTTCTCCTCCTCTCCTTCTCTCCTCCTCCTCCTCCTCATCCTCTTCATATCCTCATCCCCCCCCCCCCCTCCTCCTCCTCCTCCTCCTCCTCCTCCTCCTCCTCCTCCTCCTCCTCCTCCTTCTTGTCGTCCTTCGCCCCGGACGACCACGACGACGGTTCAACGGCGACGGCGACCGACGGCGACGTGCGACGCCGCAGGTCTCCGCAGACCCACAGAGACCCCAGCAGGCCCAGAAAGACGCGCCAGAACCGCCAACCGCGACGGAGAACAACCGACCACGACGAAGGCGGCGGCCACGACGACCGACGACGACGACGACGACGATGACGACGACGACGACGACGACGACGACGACGACGACGACGACGGCGACGGCGACGGCGGCAACGACCGACGGAGACGACCGGCGACCACGACGACGGCGGGGGCGACGACCCGCGACCACGACGACGGCGGCGGCGACGGCGAATGACGACCACGAAGACGACCGCCCGACGACCACCGACGGCCGACGACGACGACGAAGACGACGACGACGACGACCACCACCACCGACGGCGATGACGACGACGACGAGCACCCGATGACCAACGACCGCCCGACGACCGACGACGACCCACGACGAAGACGACGACAACAGACGGCGACGACGACGAGCGCCCGACGACCACCGACGTCCCGACGACCGACGACGACGACGACGACGACGACGACAAGCCCCTGGCGACCGACGACCGCCCTGCGACCGACGACCGCCGGCGACCGACGACCGCCGACGATCGACAACGACGGCCAGCGACAGCGACATAGCCGTCCTCCACGATCCGCAGCAGCGCCGCCTCCGCCGGCCTCCCCGCCGCCGCAGCGGAGCGGACCCGGCCGGCCTGCGGCGGCCCGCCACCGTCGGTCGGTCGTCGTCGTTGCCGCCGCTGCCGTCGTCGTCGTCGTCGTCGTCGACGTCGCCATCGTGGTCGTCGTGGTCGTGGTCGTCGTCGTCGTTGCCGTCGTGGTCGTGGTCGTCGTCCTCGTCCTCGTCGTCGTCGTCGTCGTCGCCGTCCTCGTCGTCGTCGTCGTCGTCGCCGTCCTCGTCGTCGTCGTCGTCGCCGTCGTCGTCCTCGTCGTCGTCGTCGTCGACGTCGCCGTCGTCGTCGTCGCCGTCGTCGTCGTCGTCGTCCCCCAGGAGCGCGCCTCGCCGGAGGGGCACTCCGGGGAGCGCTGCCCCTCGAGCACTGGAGCCCCCCATCTCGGGGGTTGCCAGAGGTGCCCCTGGCCGAGGTTGTCGCTGCATTTTTGAAGGGGCCCTGGGGCACACAAAGAAATCCACACACACACACACAAATAACCAGATTCCCCACATTTTCCCATATCGTCTGGTTTTTGTTTGCCTTCCCCCCCACTTCCCATGTTTTCCCACAGTTTCTGGGGAATCGACGATTAATTGTGTCTGTGTGTTTTTTCTCCTCCTGAATTTTGGAGTCCCCGGGGCCCTCTGGGCCTCGTGAGGCGTGCTCTGGAGGTCGTCTGGGCCCCCTTAACAGTCCTGGGGGCACCTTTTGGCCAGGGGCACCTCTAGCAACGCCCGACCCTCGTCGCGAGGAGGCCACGGCGCGGGGCGCAGGTCGAGCATGTCCTCCTAGAGGCGGATCTGGGATGACAAGCATCGCCAAAAAAGTCCAGAATTCGTCCCCAGACTTTTGGGGGACTATTTTTGCACCCATTCCTCCGGTAGAGCAGATGGGGACGTGCCCGGCGTAAGCCTTGGGCCGTCATCGGCCTCTGGGGGCCCTCGCCGGGGCCCCGCGGCCGCCGGGAGAGCGGCTCGGGGCGCGGAGGGGGGGGCCTCCAGAGCAGGGGTCCCAGACCTCTGGAGGGGGGCCCGCGTCGTGCAAGAGACGGGGCGGCGGCGTTCTGGGCGGAGCGAGGGGCCTCGATCCTCGAGGCGGCGGTGGCCCTCCGTCGTCGGTCGGCTGTCGTCGGCCGCCGCCGCCGTCGCGGACTGGGGGTCGCGCGGCATTGGCCCGCGATCGCCGAGTCGGAGGCGGTGTTCGTCGTCGTCGGTCGCCGTCGGCCGTCGTCGGTCGTCGTCGTTGGGGGGCGTTGCCACTTGGAGCGACCCCAGAGGCCGTGGATTCCAAAACAAGGACGTATCACTTCCGCCGGCCCTCTTGTATCTTTGTGATTGGCGCTGCCCCCTAGAACCGTCACGATGGAGAGGACCTGGGGTGGTCTCACTTAGTACCTGCCGACACGGCGGCGCTGCTCGCACCACTGGAAAGCTCCGTGCAGGCAGAGGCCCACAGGGGCGCCTGAGGCAGGATCAAAAACAAAAGGACGCAAATCTCCCACTCGGCCCTGCAGTGGCCTAATGGAAGTCACAGGCGGCCTATGTATATATATATATATATATATATATATATGCATGCATATGTAAACATATTCACATATACATAAATAAATAAATAAATCTATGTATATATATACACACAAATACACATGTATACACATATGCCCCGCAAGATCTGGCACCAGAGGCGCCAAAGGGCCGCGCCTGAGGCCCCGGGTTCGACGCGATCCTGGCGCGGCCACTCAGCCCTGCAGTGGCCTGGAATGGAATTCACAGGCGGCCTGTACAGTGTGGAGGCCCGCCCACAAGAAACCTTCCACAGGAAACCCAACCCTGAGACCCCAGGACGTCCACGGAGTTTTGGTGTGGGAACGTCACGCTCTCCATGGCAAGAACATCGACACCCAAGAAACCCAGGGCACCCTGAAGGTAAGTAGGGTGTCCCTTGGCTGGGGCCTCCACTGCATACAGTCGGACTTCATTGGACAGGACACGCGAGAGGACGCAAGACCCTTCCGAGGGCCACATTGCCATAGGAATGCAGGAGGCACGGGTCGCGAGACACAGGACACAAAGGTACCCTTGACTTGGCAGGGTCGACCTACTAATCCTGGCCGACTGTATGCCCCCACAAGATCGGGCCCAGGGGGCGCCCGAGGGCCGCGCCTGAGGCCCCGGGGTTCGACGCGATCCTGGCGCGGCCGTTCGCAGTTCGCGAAACTCCGAACGGCAGGTCGGGGGCCCGCCGCGCGCAACGATCCCTCTCGACGCCCCGCGGGGGCGACGCCGCGGCGGCCGACGGTCCGCGATGTGTCGCAAAGGCTTCCCGCCGGCCCACTCGGCCTCGAAATCCTGCCCTCGAGCCTCCTCCTCCTCCTCCTCCTCCTCCTCCTCCTCCTCCTCCTCCTCCTCCTCCTCCCCCTCCTCCTCCTCCTTCCTCCTCCTCCTCCTCCTCCTCCTCCTCCTCCCCTCCTCCTCTTCCTCCCCCTCCTCCTCTCCTCCTCCTCTCCTCCTCCTCCTCCTCTCTCCTCCTCATTCCTCTCCTCCTTCCTCCTCCTCCTCCTCCTGTCTCCTCCCTCCTCCTCCTCATCTCCCTCCTCCTCATCATCCTCCTCCTCCTCCTCACCCTCCTCCTCCTCTTCCTCCTCCTCCCCCTGTCCACCCATTGCACCCTTCCCTGAGTAGAGCAAGAAAAGACGGCATGAACATAAACTGTTGGAGGTCCACGCGGATGTCTTGGATCTGCACTGAATTCCCCTCCCTGGCGCGCGGAGCGCGCTAGGGGCGGCACTGGAGGCGCTGCCAGGGGACCCAGCGCCGAGACAAGAAATCCGCGCGGAGCTTTAAGTTCATATATGCTTATGTCATCGTTCAGTTCTCTCTCTCTCTCTCTCTCTCTTTCCCCCAGGCACCCACTCCCAACGTACCGAGGACTTCTTGTGCTCGCACTGCCCTGAGATCCGACGTTGCAATAAAATTACAACATCGCGAAAAATCGCGCCCGGAGCAACGAACCTCATCTTTCAGCGACATTTTTCGAGCCCGATCGATCTGTGAGGGTCCCGAGGCCCGAAATCGAGCGAAAACGCCCGGTGCAAGAAAATTGCAACGCCAGGATCTCAGGGCAAGATCTGGTCTGGGGGAAGGAGGAGGAGGAGGAGGAGGAGGAGGAGGAGGAGGAGGCGGAGGAGGAGGAGGCGGAGGAGAGGAGGAGGAGGAGGGAGGAGGCCGCCTCCTCCGCCTCCTCCTCCCTCCTCCGCCTCCTCTAGTCCTCCTCTTCCTCCTCCTCCTCCTCTCCCCACCCTCCTCCTCCTACTCTCCTCCCTCCTCTCCTCCTCCTCCTCCTCCTCCTCCTCCCCCTCCCCCCCAGACCAGACCTTGCCCTGAGATCCTGGCGTTGCAATTTTCTTGCAGCGGGCGCGTTCGTTGGACTTCGGGCCCCGGGACCCTCACAGATCGATCGGGCTCGAAAATTGACGCAGAAAGATGAGGTTCGTTGCTCTGGACGTGTTTTTTTGCGATGTTGCAATTTGTTTGCAACGTCGGATCTCAGGGTGCCCCTAGTAACTGCTCGCCCTGGCCTCGCTATCCCTTGCTGGAGTTCGGAGTTCGGGCTCGGCTGGCTTGTGTACCCATCGGTCGGAAGAAGTAGGTAGAAACATGAATTAGGAAGGCGTTGAAAATAGATTGGGTTCCGTCCGCCCGCCAAAAAGGACGGAAAGAGTGAAGCCACTCGATCACTGAAGTAGGAAGACGCTCAATCTCGGAATCCAAAAAAAATCTACTTTCAACGACCGATGGGCATGCCGTTTGTTCCTCGCCTGCGGCGGTGGCACGACAAGGGCGGCCACCGCGGAGCTGGCCGTCCGCCAGCCTTATGCCAGAGGAGCCGCTGCCTTTCTCCACTTCCGCCGTCCTCGGCCAGCCTCCGCCGAGGCCGAAACGCGCCAAGGGCGAGGCCCTGTTTGGAGCGCCCCACGTGGCGAGAGACCGCCACCAGCGACAGCCTCCTCCTCCTCCTCCTCTTCCTCCTCCTCCTCCTCCTCCTCCTCCTCTTCCTCCTCCTCCTCTTCCTCCTCCTCCTGCTCCCTCCTCCTCTTCCTCCTCTTCCTCCTCCTCCTCCTCCTCCTGCTCCTCCTCCTCACTCCTCTTCCTCCTCCTCTTCCTCCTCCCCCTCCTCTTCCGCCGCCGCCTCCTTCTCCTGTTCCTCCTTTCCTGTTCCTTGTGAACGACTCCTGCCAATCGCACCCCGAGGCCAGACGGGAGGGCGGGTCGGGCGTTTCGCCAAAGACTGCCTCACCACAGAAGATCCTGATGTTTACAAAATCGGCAAAAGCTTCACGGATGAAGGGCGGGCGGTTTTCAAAGCAAACTCGCCCTAGCGCCGCGCGCACTCGTCAATAACTAAAATGCAACAGCATCACGGATGGAGGGCAGCTCCTTTCAAAAACATGTGGATCTCGCCTTGGCGCCGCAAAAGCTCGTCTTACAAAACCGCAAGAGCTTGACGGATTACTGGTGGGCGGTCTTCAACAAACAGTTCTCGCCGTAGCGCCGCATATTCGTTTTAACATGTGCAAAACGAGTTTCTCGGATAGAAGGCGGCTCCTTTTCAAAATGTGGCTCCCGCCTTAGCGCCGCGCACGGATTCCACGGTTTCCCATGGCTAACGTACCAAAAACGGCAGCATGTTCGTTGATTCGTAACGTTGAAACCCTAGGACTGGCATTCTGGCACCATTCGGAATCGTCAAGACGCAACAGTCAAGTTGATTCGTGGCATGGTTGTTCCGAGAGTGGTGCTTAACCAGCTTCCTGAACTTCCAAAGGTTGTCTCCAAGATGCGCGCTTCGAATGGTAATGAACCATTGTACGATACGATACGCTACGACCACCGCTGCGGACGCCGCCCGGGCCCAGCTAAGACCAGGTGGGCGAGGCCGTGGCCTCAGGAATCTGGTGCGTCTGAACAGCATGCAATGCAAGAGACATAAAAAGTTAATGGGGGAGGGAGGGGGGAGAGGTCCTTTGAGTCGGTGTCGGCGCGGGGCTCGGCACGCTTGGGCGTGTCTGCGTGGGAGGGAGAGGGAAGAAGGGAGGGGAAAAGTCCTCAAAGTCGATGTCGGCGCGATGCTCGTTCACGTGTTGGCGCAGTAATGCTCGAGAATTGACCACGTGATGGTGTCTTGGGCCGTACGAATCCACGCGAGGGTCGTTTGGCTGCCCCTTGTCGCGTGTGGGGGCCGGGGTTGGGTGGAGGTCTGGCCTGCGCTGACGTAGGTGTGCGAGATCTTCTTCGTCCCAACGCTTGTGCTAGCCCCCTTGTTGTCGATGGGCGCCTGGCTGCCACTGCAGAACCTTCCACGTCACGTCCACCTGATGGGTGCGTGATTGGCCACTTTCGCGGTCATTCTCCATACCTTCGTCTACGTGGTGGAACTTCATGAGCTGCTCTGCGCGTCGCGTAGTGCGTCGGATGTATTCGACCCAAGGTTCCCCGAGGTCCAACCCGTTGTTGTCGTCAGCGCCATCACTGCGTCGTGTTGATGTCGACGCTGTGTCGTGTTGCGGCGGATTGTTGTCTGCGTCGTCGCTCCTGCTGTTGTCGTGGGAGTCGTCGTGGGAGGCTTTGTCCGGCGCGTCATTGTCCGTGCCGTCGACGCCCGTCGTGCCTTGGATGCCGCTGCTGTCTGCTGGGGGGGTGCCCTTTCGCTGAGACGTCCTGATAATCATGCGAATCATGTGTCGCTGTGTCCACCGGAGATGCAGCCGAAGTGGTTCCGTGAATATCCACGTTTCTGCTCCGTACAATGCTGTCGGTGTGGCAGTGCTGCCGAAAAGCCTGAGTCGGTGTGCGAGTGGGTATTGCTTACTGGTCAATTCTTGTTTATGTTAACTGATCGATGCCCATGCAGCTCTTGTGCGATGGTGGACGTCTGTCTCCATGGGACTGTGGAAGCTGATCTGTTGGCCGAGATATTTGAGACTGCCCCCGTAAGGAAGAATCTCGATGTCCATGTACCAGACGCGTGCTGTGCACGAGCTCGCCCTGCCTGTCCTTCTCGTGCGGTTGCTCCTGATTTGGGTCTTGTCTGGCTGTAGCTCGAGCCCGCGTGGTCGCGTTGCGCTTGCTGTCGTCGAGGCGCGGAAGGGTTTGGCTCGTCCGGAGCACGTCGTCGGCGAAGGGTAAGTTGGTAAGGGTTGATGTGGTCGTGAATCTTAGCCATGCTCCTTTGTGTGTTTCTGCCAGTCAGTAATCAATGGTGCAATGATATGATGCAGAAGTGCGCCAAAAAGCAAAAAGCTGAATGAGTCTCTTTGCTAAGTACCCCGCACAAGACTGAGTCTGCTGGTGACGTCTGCCTTCACCGTGGCCGCTTGTCCTGCGCATAACTGCTGGAGTAGTGAAATGTACACTTGTGGTACACCCTGCGTTTCCAGTGCTGCCCACATGCTCTAGTGCTCGACAGAATCAAAGGCTTGTTTAAAGTCGAGTGATGCGGCCGATAAGTTCTGGTTCCATCAAAGACCCTTGTCGGGACCTCTGAAGAGGGAGCTTGGAAGGAGGGTTTATTCCAACATCGTAAACGGGTTGTTGGGTTTACACTGGTCCTCCTCCTCCTCCTCCTCCTCCTCCTCCTCCTCCTCCTCATGCTCTCTCCTCCTCCCTCCTCCTCCTCCTCCTCCTCCTCCTCCTCCTCCTCCTCCTCTCCTCCTCCTCCTGTCCTCCTCCTCCCTCCTCCTCCTCCTCCTCCTCTCTTCACATCCTCCTCCTCCCTCCTCCTCCTCCTCCTCCTCCTATCCTCCTCCTCTCTCATCATCATCATCATCATCATCATCATCATCATCATCATCATCATCATCATCATCAGCATCATCAGCATCATCATCATCATCATCATCATCATCATCCTCATCATCAGCAGCAGCAACAACAACAACAACATCATCATCATCATCAGCAGCAGCATCATCATCATCACCATCACCATCAATATCACAATCACCATCACCATCACCATCACAATCATCATAATCATAATCAGCATCATCATGATCCATCATCATCAGCAGCATCATCATCAGCATCAGCAGCATGATCATCATCCTCGACATCATGAGCATCAGCATCATCAAGATCGTCATCATCATCAGCATCATCCGCATCAGCATTATCAGCATCATCATCAGCAGCAGCA